CTACTTCCTATGTCTCTCTGTCTCTCCCTGATGCCCTCTGATGCTCGATTGTAGCACAAATTCTAATTGGTCTTAATAAAAAAAAAACTTGGAGTCAGATATAGGGGTAAATGCTGAAAGATCAGAGAGACAAAGGAGCAAGCTACAGCCACACCGTACCTCGCCAGCTTCTCAGCAGAAGAGAGAGAGCTCCTGTCTCCTCCCACCTTATATTCCTTTCTCTGCCCAGTCATATCACTTCCTGTCTGTCTGTACAGACCTCCAGACCTTTATGGTTAACTAGTGGCTAGCTCTGCCCCCTGATCTTCATGCAAGCTCTATTTGTTAGATTACAAACAAAATATCACCACACTATGATTACTTTCTGTCAACTAGTTGCTAACTCAACCACTTGATCCAAGGTTAATTTTGTTTAACCAATGCAAATGCAGACTCGGGGTTCACAGTGACCTAGCACCCCCCACTACTTGCCTAGACACATTCTTGACAGAGCATTCAGCCCTGCCAGGTGTAGCTGATCCTGAACATGTGAAGAGCCTTTACCTTTCTTATTTGTTGTGTCATTTTGTTTTGTTTTGTTTTTCCTTCATACATTACACAAGTGCTACATCATTGTACTATACCCCAACCAGTTATTATTTATTAAACTTATTTATTTATGTTGGTGGAAGGGGGGAGGGTTGAGACAGGGCCTCCTGCAGTTCAGACTTGCCTTGAACGAGTCATGTAGCCAAAGTTAGGCCTGAGCTCCTGATCCCACCTCTACCTCCCAAGTGCTAGCACTGCAGGTGAGCACCACAAGGACCGGCCTCTTCTGGTTCATTCTGCTGGAGTCTATGTGGCTGTGTCCTGACCATGCCCTTTACCACTGAGCTGGCTCCCCAGTTCAGAAAAGGAACAAAGAAAGTGAAGATTATCTAAGGAGTGCTCTTTTTTTCTGGCAGTGACAATTTTCAGTTTTCTTTTTTTTTTCCCTTTGTTTGTTGTTATTTCCTGAAGTCAATTCAGAAAAATAAATAAATGATCTGGAACCTTTTTCTTAAAAGAAAACATCTCTCTTATCAGGAAATATAGTAATATCAAAAGCTTGGCTTCAGAATGCCTGTTTTTCCCAATGATGAAAGGTCTCTCTGTCTTCCAGGCACTTTGAGAAGCTGCATAGCACGAATACCAAGGTGTATCTGATGTAACGTTGCACCTTTTACCGACATTTTCAGTCAAGGAAGTCACTTTGGAGTTGGTTCACTTGTGTTTCCTTAACTAACCCTTGAATCCATTTAGAAACTTTGTTGCGTCTCCTCCTCCGGTGTGACGACTGTAAAGTTCAGATGTGTACCTTAAGAGCGAAGCCCAGGCCGGGCGTTGGTGGCGCACGCCTTTAATCCCAGCACTCAGGAGGCAGAGGCAGGCGGATCTCTGTAAATTTGAGACCAGCCTGGACTACCAAGCGAGTTCCAGGACAGCCTCCAAAGCCACAGAGAAACCCTGTCTCAAAAAACCAAAAAAAAAAAAAAAAAAAAAAAAAGAGCGAAGCCCAGTGAACGACCGATTCTTCACACCCGCCACCTGGTCAAGACGTCAACTTTCCTGTGTTCGTTCCAGTCTGTGTTGTCATCAGAAAGGGCTCTCCTTTCCTGGATTCTAGCACCATCTGTCAGTTTGTCTTATTCCTAAATTGTATGTGAGCAGCCAAGTATGATGGCTTACGCCTGCAACCTCAGCACTCAGGAGCTGAGGAAAGAGAGCTGGGGCCAGCTGAGGCAGCCAGAGCTACATAGTGAGATCCTGCCTTTAAAAAAATAGTAACATAGAGTCCCAGTACTCGGGAGGCAGAGGCAGGCAGATATCTGAGTTCGAGGCCAGCCTGGTCTACAGAGTGAGTGCTAGGATAGGCTCCAAAATTACACAGAGAAACCCTGTCTCAAAAAAAAAAAAAAAAAAAAAAAAAAAGGAAAGAAAGAAAAAGAAAAAAAATAGAGCTGGGCTGTGGCAGCTCACACCTTGAATCCCAGCACTCAGGAGGCAAGGGTTTTCTGTGAGTTCCAGGCCAGCCTGGTCTACAAAGCAAGTTTCAGAATTGCCAGGGATACACACAGAAAAACCCCTCCTTAGCCGGGCGTTGGTGGCGCGCGCCTTTAATCCCAACACTCGGGAGGCAGAGGCAGGAGGATCTCTGTGAGTTTGAGGCCAGCCTGGTCTACAAGAGCTAGTTCCAGGACAGCCTCCAAAGCCACAGAGAAACCCTGTCTCGAAAAACCAAAAAAAAAAGAAAAAAAGAAAAAAAACCCTCCTTAAAAAACAAAACAAAGCCTGGCTTTGGTGGCGAATGCCTTTAGTCCCAGCACTTGGGAGGTAGAAGCAGGCAGATTTCTGTGAGTTCGAGGCCAGCCTGGTCCACAGAGTGAGTTCTATACAGAGAAACCCTGTCTCAAAAAACAAAACCAGAGAACCCAGTTCAGTTCCTAGCACCTACATGGCTGCTCACAATCACCTTGTAACTCCAGTTCCAAGGTAATCCAATGCTCTCTTCTGGTCTCTGTGAACACTGCACACGCATTGTGCACAGATATTTATGCAGACAAAAGTCAAACACCCATACTTGATACTGCTGATAATAATAATAACAATAATAATAAACATATTTTAAAACAAAATGCTGGGGAAATGGCTGAGTTGGCAAAATGATTGCCTCAAACCTGGGAAGTCCTGAGTCCTATCTCCAGCACTGGATAAAAATGGTGCGATGGGCCGGGCGTTGGTGGCGCACGCCTTTAATCCCAACACTCGGGAGGCAGAGGCAGGCGGATCTCTGTGAGTTCGAGGCCAGCCTGGTCTACAGAGTGAGTTCCAGGACAGCCTCCAAAGCCACAGAGAAACCCTGTCTCGTAAAACCAAAAAAAAAAAAAAATGGTGCGATGGACTGGACTGGGTGGTAGTGCATGCCTTTAATCCCAGCACTCGGGAGGCAGAGGCAGTGAGTTTGAGGTCAGCCTGGTCTACAGAGTGAGTTCCAGGACAGCCAAGGCTACACAGAGAAACCCTGTCTCAAAAACAAAACAAAACCAAAAAAAAAAAAAAAAAAACAGGAGTGATGGTTCATTGCTACAATCCAGATACCTGGTAGGTGGAGGCAGGAAGATTAGAAGCAAGTTCAACACCAGCCTGGAGAACATATGAGTCCTTGTTGCAAAAAATAGATGGGACAGGAAAAGGAAAATAAAAAGTTTATATATAATTGAAATCATAGAGTATGACACATAGTCACTGAAAATAATTTCTATGAGGTTCATTCATATTGTTGTACACATAGCAATTCCTTTTTGCAAATGGGTCCTTCCTATGCTACCGGGTCTGGCCTTGAAGCCCTGAGTTCAAATGGTCCTTTTGTCTTTGCCCCCTAGGCAGCTAGGATGACAGATAGAGAAATTAATTGTTTTCATTGCTACAAAGTATTCTATTGTATAAATACACCATAATTTGTCAATTTTCCTAGTTACTAGACTTTTATTTTTTCGTTTCTGGCTCTTGTAAATAAAGCTGTTATGAGACTGTGTTATGCTACATTGTGTTTTGTGACAAGGTCTCATGTAGCTCTCAAACTTGCTCTACAACAGTGTTTCTCAACCTTCCTAATGTTGTGATCCTTCAATACAGTTCCCCATACTATAGTAACTCCCAACCATAAAATTAATTTTGTACTACTTCATAACTAATTTTGCAACTGTTATGAATTGTAAATATCTGTGTCTTAGGCAACCCCTATGGAGGGGTTGAGACTCACAGGTTGAAAACCACTTATCCACAGCCAAGGATAGCATTAAACTCCTGATCCTCCTTCCAGTACCTCCCAAGTACAGGATGTGACGAGGATTAAACCCACCAAACCCATGGCATTGCACATGTGAGCCAAGTATTCCATTGAGCTACATCCATAGCCCCCGAAAGTATTAGTCACTGCTCCACACTTCACACACCTCACTGTCCTTTGTTAAGACAGGGTCTCACTCTATAGTCTAGGATAAGTGGACTGGAATGCCTTCAACCTTCACAGTGTTGGGATCATAAATGGGCACCACCATGTCCAGTGCCTTACATTTCTTAAACAGGCTCCTTATGATAAACAGTATAGCAAGAAGCTGAGTGGAGCCAGGCATTGGTGGCGCACGCCTTTAGTCCCAGCACTCGGGAGGCAGAGGCAGGTGGATCTCTGTGAGTTCGAGACAGGCCTGGTCTACAGAGCGAGTTCCAGGACAGCATCCAAAGCCACAGAGAAACCCATCTCGGGAAAAAAAAAAAAAAGAGGCTGAGTGGCTTTCCTAAGTCACATACAGAGAAGCAGTGACAGTCCTGACTGTCTACCGCCCTAGCTCAGGGGTCAGTAGAATGTCTCAGTTTTGCCAGGCTACTCAATCCTCTCCAGTACCCCTAGGCCTTGCTCAACAGGCCTGAATCTGTGATCCCTTTGTTAGAATGGAATTGAATTCCCTGGAGTTCCTGTCCCAGCCCTGGCCAGTAACTCCAGTAACCAGAGCTGTGTGAGAAGAAAAGGCCAAGCCACTGGGGAAGCCACACCCCAATCAAAGGTGAGGTCTCGGGTGAGTCATGCCAAGGGCTACTGCTCAGGTTGGTCCTGCCCTTCTAAGGTGTGTACTTCTGCACACACCTGCAGCACCCTCATCTTACTTGGTTTTAACACCCAGAGTTCTCTGCTCATCTCTCCCACATACAACAGGTACCCTGGAGCTAGGACACCTCCGCTGCTTCCATTCTGAGCCTCCAGATATGTGAGATGCACCTGAGTTCTGGGAGGGGCCTTTGAACTCCCTACTTTCCCCTTTCAGCCCTGGATCCTCTCAGATTCCCACAAATGGGTTCTAGCCAGGAAGGGTGGGGCTACTCCTGGGACCATCAGGAGGGACCAGCCGCATAGTCAGTGACAGTGTGGTGGCAGGAAGCAGCCTTTCACCTGTCTCTGTGCCTCCCTTGGACTCCAGTGGACCATGTCCCAACACCTGTTTCTCCCAGTTGTCATGATGGGTAAGTTCAGTGGACAGGGCTTCAGGAAGCCGGGATGCCAGCACCTAGAGAGCTGAAAAGCAGGTTAAGTATCCTGTATCCTTTATAGACCGTGAAATATCAGCAGAGGCAGAGAAGTAGGGTGTCAAGAGGAAGAAGGGGAGGGTGACAGAAGGAGGGAAGGGGCAAGTCAGGAGCCTGAGGGGTTGTGTAGAAGGGGAAGAGGGAAGGGAGGCCCCGTGTCGTGGGGGACGGAACACTGAACCTGGATAGGAGTGAGAGCCACACCTAAGCCATCATCTCCCGGCCTTTCCCTGCCTCTCTCTTGTCTTTCCAGTGGTCAGTCCCATCCCAGGCACCTCCCAGGATTCAGGTAAGCCTGCCAGACAAGGGAAAGTTAGGCACAGTGGCCTAGGTGCAGGCAGATCAAGGAGCTGAAACAACAGGGAATGGAGAGGCAAATGTGGGCTTAGAGCAGGAAGATGGGGGCTGGGCAACGTCGGGGCTCAAGTAGCAAGTGTGTCTCTGTCTCCGCCTTCTGTCTTCCAGCTATCAGTCCTACCCAAGGAGAATCGGAAGACTTAGGTAAGAGGGAGCCATGAGTTGCCTTGGATCTTGAGGGGTTTTTTTGTTTGGTTGTTTGGTTGGTTGGTTGGGTTGTTTGTTTGGTTTTAAGACAGGGTTTCTCTGTGTAGCCCTGGCTGTCCCGGCACTCACTCAGTAGTCCAGACTGGCTTCAAACTCAGATCCATCTCCTTCTGCCTCCCGAGGGCTGGGACTAAAGATGTGAATCTAATCACTGCCCGGCTTTGTTTTGTTTTGAGTCAATGTCTCTATATAGTCCTGGCCGTCCTGAAGTTCGCTCTGTAGATCAGGCTGGCTTCGCACTCTCAGAGATCTGCCTGCCTCTGCCTCCTGAGCGCTGTAACTAAAGCCAGCGCACCATCATACCTGGCTGCCTTGATTCTTAAAGAAGCTTCTGGCTGGCTAGGTCATGAGTGAATCGGAAGTGCCCAGGAACTCAGCCGTGGCTTGGTCATGTTCAGAAGGGCAAACTGAAGGAGTGGATGGAGGTTCAGACTGTCTCCCGAGTTACCAGAGTCTTTGGAATAATAAGGTCGGAGTGGGAGGGGCTTTAACTTCCAGGGGTCTCCTTTCCAGATTGCGGCCACCCGGAGCCCTCTTCCCGCATCGTAGGGGGCTCCGACGCACGCCCCGGCACTTGGCCTTGGCAGGTGAGCCTGCATCACGGTGGGGGCCATATCTGCGGGGGCTCTCTCATCGCTCCTTCCTGGGTCCTTTCTGCTGCTCACTGTTTCGTGACGTGAGTAAAGTCTTTGTACAGCTCTCTCCTGCAAAGACTAACCTCGCCCTGCAGCTCGACCTTCCCTGTTTACCGTTCCTGCCCGGCAATGTCATGCTGTCCAGGCTGAATACCCTGGAATAGGAATTATCGTTCAACGTCCATTGTCATCTCCAAGTCCTATTTGACACTTTGAACCTCCACTGTCTCGGCCCCAAATCTGGATCTGACTGCTCACTCCCTGGGTTCCTACTGACCCATCTCCCTCTTGGCTCTGAGTCTTCCGCCCCAAGGTGATCCACTGACTCCGTGAGACCAACCTAGTCCCTTTCCCTCCCCGGCAATTGAGCAGGAATGGGACCTTGGAGCCCGCGGACGAATGGTCAGTCCTGCTGGGCGTGCATTCCCAGGACGGACCCATGGACGGCGCGCACTTGCGCTCAGTGGCCGCTATCCTGGTGCCGGACAACTACAGCCGAGTGGAACTGGGCTCCGATGTGGCTCTGCTTCGCCTGGCCTCACCCGCCAGGCTGAGCCCCTCGGTGCGGCCGGTTTGCCTGCCTCGCGCCTCGCACCGCTTCGCTCACGGCACCGCCTGCTGGGCCACTGGCTGGGGAGACGTCCAGGAGGCTGGTGAGTCGGGCGAGCGACTGCCCTTGCAAGTGTGGGTCCAGGAGCTCCCTAAAAGCTGGGTCGTCTTGTGGGTGGCCCCTCAGAAGCTGGGCCTAAAGGGAGGGAGGGACCCAGGCGGAACTTGGAGACTTGGTTCTGATTCACGGAAAATTCCTAACCTCCCTCTGTGTAGCCTCCTCTGCACCAGAGGTTGCCCCACCTCTGGCCTCACCTTTTCTCCAGCTTTTGTTCTTGTTCTTTCTTCTCCTTTCTCTTCTGCATTTAGGTCGGATTCGGGTTCCGTGCCGGCTCTTTCAGGCAAAGCATTCCCCCTGCACATTTCCTGGTGCGAAAGGAGGAAAACATCCCCCCGGGGTGTTGGGTGGCTCAGAGAAGGCACAAGCGAAGCCTATCTGTCGCCCAGTAGCTATCACATCTATTACCTTCTGCAATAGGTGTCCAAGTACTGACGCTCAGCACGTTTGCTCTTCCATAGTCCTCCCTTCCACTCTGCCCACCCCTCGTCAGTCCATCCCACACTTCCGCTTCTCCCTACTCAGAACACTCATTCACGCACTCTTTGGCTGAAGCTGTTTCTATGTGCCAAGCACTGTGTTAGACACGCACTAAAAAGAGATAACCCCAGTGAACAAGCAAAACCCATGCCTTCTCGGAGGTGGCATCATGGTGGGTAGACAGACCGTATAATCAGTTAATAAGCAAATGCTATGTCGGAAGGTGTCAGGAGGCAGGCTGCTTTTCCGTTTTCAACCACCCCTATTGTTCAGTGTTACTTTGTCACTAGCAAACACGCCCATAGCTATCCCACATCTGCTTTGGTCAGACTTCCACAGGCCCGGGGCTTTGACAGAAGCCTTGTGGAGGGGATGCGACAGCTGCTGCTTGCGGGTGCCATCGGCCCAGAGGTGTCAGGGAAGAGTGACCCTGAGCACCTGGGAAAAGTCAGAGCATCCTGACATGGCCTTCCGAGCAGATTTCCTAGGAGAAGGTGTGGAGAGAGGATGTGCTGGAGGGAGGCCGCCTGAGGACCCTAGGGAAAAGCTAGAATGCTGGAGTGAGTGGCTGGGCAAAACTCACAAGGATGCCCAGACCGGACCCCGAAGATCTTAAGGTCGAGTAGTCATCAACTCAGGGGTCCCCAGACCACCCCCAGACTTTCCTTGCTGAGCTCCAAGGACAGGTTCAGCCGTAGCCTGACCTCTCAGGATTCTGTGTGAGTCTGGAAGGATCTCTTCAGCCACCTTACCTGTCTCTGGTACCTGAGACTTTTCATCAAAAGTAGCAGCTGGGCTGGGTGTGGTGACGCATACCATACCTTTAATCCCAACACAGCAGAGGCAGAGAGGCAGAGAGGCAGAGAGGCAGAGGCAGAGGCAGAGGCATCAGGTCAGAATGTTCTACATAGTGAGTTCCAGAACAGCTAGGACTACATAGTGAGACCCAGTCTCAAAAAAAATTTTTTTCACAGTAGTGGTAGTATGCACCTGGAATCCCAAAAGGCTAGCACTGGGGCCCCAGGTTGAGCCTGGAGCACCCATTTATTGTTTTAGTGAAAACTCAGAGCTGAGCTCTAGAAACATTTCTCCAGGAAGGAGCAGGTGCAGAGTGCATTAGGAAACCAGTCAGAAGGGTTGCTCACTCAAGCCCAGGATTATGCTTCTTGCACTGGGGAGTAACAGTGGAATGCTGTTACTCAAATCACAAATGACTTGAGAACTAGTTTGGGAAGGTGAGTTAAGGCTCCGACGTTATAAAGCAATTGTTGCTTGGCAGAGGATCCAGATTTGGTTCCTAGCACCCACATGGTGGTTCACAACCAAATGTAATTCTAGATACCTCCAGTTCCAGGATATTCTATGCTCTTTTCTGACCTTTGTGGATACCAGGCACACATGCGATATGCATACAGGCAATCAGGCAAAACATTCATATACATAAAATAAAGTAATTGTTTAAAAGGGAGAGAGGAGCCTGGCAGTGGTGACACACATGTTGGTCCAACACTCGGGAGGCAGAGGCAGGTGAATCTCTGAGTTCAAGGCCAGCCTGGACTATAGAGCGAGTTCCAAGACAGCCAGGGCTACACAGAGAAATCCTGTCTCTAAAAACCAATAAAACAAAATAAAGTGGGACAGTGATGACACCCAAATTCCCTTTGTTGTTGTTTTTGTTTTGTTTTTTGTTTGTTTTTTGAGGTGGGGTTTCTCTGTGTAACCCTGCTGTCCTGGAAGTCACTTTGTATGTAGACCAGGCTGACCTCAAACCCAGAGATCTGCCTGCCTCAGCCTCCCAAGTGCTGGAGTTAAAGGCATGTACTGTAACGCTCAGCTGCTTATCCAGTTTCTGTGTCTGTAAAATGGATGCACGATTACATCTAATACACACGATATCTTTGTGAAAAGGATGCTTTTTTTTAACAAATACAACTCCATATCAGTATTAAGAGATGCTTCTTCTTCTTCTCCTTCTTTTTTGTCTTCTTTTGTGGTTTTTCGAAACAGGATTTCTCTGCATTACTTTGCTTTGGAGGTTGTTCTGGAACTCTCTCTGTAGACCAGGCTAGCCTCGAACTCACATGCCTCTGCCTCCTGAGTACTGGGATTAAAGGTGTGCGCCACCACTGCCCAGCCGAGAGCTTCTTAATGATTTTGGCTCCTCCATATTACATTGTCATCTGGGGACCTTGTGTCATACACACCCTGCACCACCATCTATGGCATTTCTCACTGGCTGCTTGCAGGGCAACAGATGATGTGGTGAAGGCGGTAGGCCAAGGTGCCTTTTTTTTTTTTTTTTTTTTGCCAAGGCAGGGTCTCACATAGCCCAAGCTGGCATCAGACTTGCTATGTAGCTGAGGCTGGCCTTGAGTTGCTGACCCTCCACTTCCCATGTGCCACCACACCTGGCTTATTCCATTCTGGGAACAGAACACAGGCCTTTATCCATGTCAGCAATCAGTCTACCAACTGAGCTACGCCTCCAGACCCAAGGGGCATGCTGATGGGAATATCCAGGAGGCAGCTGAAAGCGACAAGCCTAAGGTCTGGGAAGATTCGTGTTTCATACCTGACTCACAGTCTCTGTTCTCTGGTTCTGCCCTCAGACCCTCTGCCTCTCCCCTGGGTGCTACAGGAAGTGGAGCTAAGGTTGCTTGGAGAGGCTGCCTGTCAGTGTCTCTACAGCCGGCCTGGCCCTTTCAACCTGACCTTCCAGCTGTTGCCAGGGATGCTGTGTGCTGGCTACCCAGAGGGACGCAGGGATACCTGCCAGGTGAGGAGAGATCTCCTAACCCATAGGAACTAAGGAGCAGACACATATTTGAGCCTCATCTTCAACGGAATCTGGGCTGGGGAGTATGGCTCAAGGGTACAGTGTGTGTATCTAGAACCTAGGAGGCTCTGGTTTCAATCTTTGAGAACAAAATAAACAAAAACCCAAAGATAGTCTGGAACAGCAGGGTGCACTTGTAATCCCAGCACTTGGGAAATAGGCTGAGCTACATAGAGGTCAGCCTAGGCTACATGAGATCCTATCCCAAAAACAAAACAGAGGGATTATCAATGAGTAGGACTGACATAAAGATTATAGGTGAATGAAAGTTAGGACTCAATACATGTACCTATTACTCATGGAAGCATAATGTAATAAAACATCTGGATCTAGAGTTAGTTACTGCTCTGTCTGCCTCTTCGTCCCCAGAGGCATGGGTTAGGGATGGTGAGAGAGATGTGTTACCTACAACAAAGTATTATTACCATGGTTAGGGACCTCACTGAGATCTAAAAAGTATTAGCTATTATTTTTCTAAGCCTATAGCATAGCACTTGTTGTTCAGTAGGTACCTACCAAAGAGTTATTGGGAAAATGAATTAATTTTACACAGAAGGGTATTTTCCAGATAATTGGCTGGTGGCCAAACAGTATGTTTGAAATAACTTTATTGAGAAATGAAACCCAGCCTTCATGGTATTGGTGTGGAGACAAGGTAGATAGTCTGAGCTTCCAGGATCCATAGACATAATCAGTTTCTTCTTATTTTAGACTTATTTATTTTTACCTTATGCGTATGAGTGTCTTGCCCACATGTACGTATGTGTACCACGTGTGCAGTGCCTGAAGAGGCCAGAGGAGGGCACCAGACCCCTAAGACTGGAGTTGCCGCCAAGTGACTGTGGGAAACCAAACCTGGGTGCTTCCCAAGAGCAACAAATGCTTTGATAACCACTGAAGCATCTCTCCAGCTCTAATCACTCACTTTCCCTCAACCTGGGCATCTTTTATTTACTTTTAGACAATTTCATACATGTATGCAATGTATGTTGATCATACCCACCCTGAACTCCCCCTCCTTCTCCCATCAGATGCTCCCAAACCCCTCCCACCCTTCCCAACTCCATATTGTCTCGTCTTTTAATCTTTGCAACTCACTTGAGTCCAGTTAGTGCTGCCTGCTGGAATGCTGGCTGGCTTCATCGGTTTGACTGTGTGCGGGTAGGCTGCACGTGTGCGTGAAGGTCATCTAGTGACTGGAAGGCACACTTCACAGCACTCCTCCTCATCCTCTGGCTCCTAGGTTCTTTCCACCTCTACTTCTGCCCTGTTCCCTGGAGGACAGTCACAGGGTGTTGCTATAGGTGTCCCGCCTAGCCGTAAGGGCTCAGTGGCCACTTATCGTCAGCACTCTGACCAGTTATGGGTGCCTGCATTAACTGATGGCCACAGCAGAGGAAGCTTCGAAGCTTGAGAGCTGCATTGGTCTATGGGTACAAACATAAATATTTTTAGAAGGCAGTTTGACCACATGTGTATTTACCAAAACAGTAGTAGTGGGTTCCCAACTAGGGTCCGTGACTCCATGGTTTACAGTACCAGGGATAGAATCCTTCTTGTAGAACAGGACCCCAAATCCAATCAGAAAGCACGTGGTCACCTCGGTGACCTTCATACCACTATTTCATCCATGACACATCTTCCTTATCAGGGCGGTATTGTAGCACTCAGGGCTCACCGCTGGGAATACTATTGATGACTTGAATTCTCCCACAAGCATTCGCAGCACTGTGAAAGCCAGCCAGCAGGGGAGTTTTCCAGTCAGCTTCAGGGTTATTTCTCTGTGTGCTGCAACCCAAGTGTGCTGTGTCTTCTGTAACAGAATCTTACCACCTATGGTAGGCAATCAAGAGCGATAACAGTAGTCCGTGTTGTTTTGGGAGTCTCTGGGGCCTCTCTGACCAATAACTCACAAGGAGGTGCCCCATGCCTAACACTGAGATTTTCATTTAATAGCCCATGGCTTCTTGGGAAACACTGTGCACAAATACAGGGTTCTTTAAAAAAAAAAAAAGCAAAACAGTTTTTTAAATTATTTATTTGTATTTTTTATGTACATTGGTGTTTTACTTGCATATATGTCTGTGCGAGGGTGTCGGATTCCCTGGAGCAGGAGTTACAGGCAATTGTGAGCTGCCATGTGGATGCTGGGAATTGAACCCAGATCCTTTGGAAAAGCAACCAGTGCTCTTAACCGCTGAGCCATCTCTCAAGTCCCCCAAATACAGGGTTCTTGTGTTCAAACTCCTTTTAAAACTTTATACATATGGAATTTAAAACTTTGTAAATGTTTAAAACATATATACACACTCGGGTGGCAGAGGCAGGCAGATCTCTGTGAGTTCGAGGCTGGGCTGGACCGATAGCCTCCAAAACAATACAGAGAAACCCTGCCTCGTAAAAACCAAAAAAAAAAAAACCATATATACATATTTATTTTTGACAGGGTCTTGTAACGTTTAGTCTTCCTGTCTGCTGCCTGGTTCCTGTTGCTGCTTTCAGTCCCCAAATAACACACAGGACACTATAATTATGAAGCTGTTGGCCGTTTGCTTGGTTTCTTATCGGCTAGCTCTGACTTGATTATTAATCCATAATTACTAATATATATTTTATAAGGACTTATCTTTACGAGGACACACTCCTGCCCGCATCCATTCCTCCTGGGAGATCACATGGCAACGATTCTCTTTACTACATTTCCCAGAATCTTCTTAGACTCCTAGTCCCACCTATCTTGCTTCCCTATTAGCCAACAGTGTTTTATTGACACATACACAGAAGGACTTCTCACAACAGGGTCTCACTGTGTATTCTTGGCTGGCCTAGAACACTCTGCAGAACAAGCTGTTAATTATGTTTTTACTCAAAGTACTGGGTTTCCATAAGTCTTTAGTTTTGGTTACCTCTCCTCTCTGCTGTCTACCCATCCCTTTGCCACCTTAACCCTTTAACTCCCGCCCCCTTTATATCACATGTATTCTACTAGGCCCTTACCCTTTCAGGCTTTCTTCCCCTCCCCCTCTCATGAACCCTTCCTAGCTTCCTGGCTGCTGCAGCCACTATAAATTAAACATGCAAAAATCTAGACATTTGAAGCTAAGATCTACAGATGAGAGAGAATATGTGGCATTTATCTTTTCTGGGCTTGGCTCACCTCATTTAATATAGTATTTTTCAGTTCTATCCATTGTCCTGCAAATTTCATTTTTTTAACAGCTGAATAAAATTCTATTGTGTGTAGTCGCCACATTTTCATTAATCATTTATCAGCCAAGGCATGTCTAGGCTGACTGTATTTTCCAGCTACTGTGAGCAGTGAACACGGATGGGTAGGCTGAAGTCCTTTGGACATGTGCCCAGAATAGCTGCATTAGATGATATTTCTGTTTTCAGGTTTTTGAGGGGACTCCACCCCGACTTCTATAATGGATACTCTAACTCATGGTCCCACCAATAATGAATGGTGTTCTCCTTCCCTCACAGCCTCATTAGCATTCGCTGTCATTTACTTTTAATTTTTTGACAATAGCCATTCTGGGAATGGAGAGATGGCTCAGTGGTTAAGAACACTGGCTGCTTTTCCAGAGGTTATGGGTTCAATTCCTAGCTACACAGTGGCTCACAACCATCTATAATGGGATCTGATGCCCTCTTCTGGCCTGCAGGCATACATGCAGACAAAGCATGCATACCTAAAAAAAAACATACATAAATAAATTCAAAAAATTTTGCCGATCCAAAGCCACAGGGAAACCCTGTCTCGAAAAACCAAAAAAAAAAAAAAAAATTTGCCGGGCGTTGGTGGTGCACGCCTTTCATCCCAGCACTCAGGAGGCAGAGGCAGGTGGATCTCTGTGGGTTCGAGACCAGTCTGGTCTACAGAGCTAGCTCCAGGACAGCCTCCAAAGCCACAGAGAAACCCTGTCTCGAAAAAAAAAAAAAACGAAAGCCCCTTTTTAAAAAAAGAGAGAAGGGCCGGGCGTTGGTGGTGCACGCCTTTAATCCCAGCACTCAGGAGGCAGAGACAGGTGGATTTCTGTGAGTTAGAGGCCAGCCTGGTCTACAGAGTGAGTTCTAGGACAGCCTCCAAAGCCACAGAGAAACCCTGTCTCGAAAAACCAAAAAATAAAAAATAAAAATAAAAAAAGAGAGAAGGAAAGAAAATAGCTATTCTAAGTGGGGTAAGATGGAATCTAAAGGAGTTTTTTTAATCTTATTAAAACTTTACTGTAAAGAACTTAGGGGAAAATGATCATGCTGTGAGAGCATCCACACTGACGTTTACACATCTCAGTGAACCTCTATTCAGCTAAAACAATCATTCTGAAACTGCACAGCTTCACATTAGGTTTTACACTTTGACTATCAATTATATTTTTATGCTCTGCTGCATTAAAACCAAGGCAAAACTGAAAAATCCTTGACATAGTTAAAACTAGAAAAAACATTAGCTTTATACATATAACTCATGTACTATACCTGCATTCAGCCCTTCCTCATGCCCTAATGTTTGGCTCCTTCTTGTTCTTTCCACGTTATGTTGTAGCCACATGTACTCATGTTCACATACATACATACATACATAATTATAGGTTAGGAGCCACATAAGTGAGACTGCATTTTCCCTTTGAGATATATTATCTCAGTATTATACAGTCTAACTCCATACATTTTCCTGCAAATTTTGTGATTTCACTTTTGTTTAGAGCTGAGAAATATTCCATTTTATCTATGTACCATATTTTCATTGATTATCTGTTGATGGACAATTAGAATGGTTCCATTGCCTTGTTACAGTGACTAGAGCAGTAATAAACATAAGAGTGTAAATATCTCCATGGAGTTCTCTGTGAACATGCCCAGATTGGCTTAGATTAGTCATATGGTAGTTCGGTTTGTTTTAATTGTTGTTTTGTTTGGTTTGTTTCTTCAAGACAGGGTTTCTCTGTGTAACAGCCCTGCTGTCCAGAAACTTGCTTCTGGCCTCGAACTCACAGAGATCCACTTGCCTCTGCCTCCCGTATGCTGGGGTTAAAGGTGTGTCCCACCACCACCCAGTGGTAGTTCTGTTTTTGTTTTGTTTTTTGAGGAACCTCTCAGCTGGCTTCCATAATGGCTATATATCAATTTGTGCCTCCTATAGGCAGTGAATAAGGGTTCCTATTTCTCCACATCTCCTGCAACACTCAAAGTAGCTGGGTGGTGGAGGCAGGTGGATTTCTGTGAGTTTGAGGCCAGCCTGGTCCACATACTCTAAAGTTACACAGAGAAACCCTTTTTCAAAAGCAAACAAATACCCCCCCCAAAAAAACTCAAAGTAGTTTTAATTTGCATTTCCCTGATGGGTAATGGTGTTGAACTCTTTAAAAAATGTTTAGCAGTTTTTTGCTTGTTTGTTTTTTGTTTTCTTCTCTTGAGAACTCCCTGTTCCCTTCCATGGTCCATTTTTATTTTCCTTATATTAATTTCTTGAGTTCTTTGAATATCCCATACTGTAGTGGGGATATTGATCTTGGCAACACGGCTCAGCAAGTATGTGTTCTCACTGTCCAGTCTGACAGCCTGAGTTCCATCTCCTGAACCCACAAGGTGAAAGGAGAAAAACTAAGTCCTGAGGGTGGTTCTTTGACCTCTGTTCTGGCTGTGGCATTTGAACATGCACACACACAATCAATCAATCAACCAACCAATAAATGTGATTTTAAGGTGGGTGTAGAGATAGCTCAGCAGTTTAGAGCGTTGGATGCTTTTCCAGAGGTTCTGAGTTCAATTTCCAGCAACCACATGGTGGCTCACAACCATCTATAATGAAATCTTCTGGCATGTAGACGTATATGCAGACAGAGCAATGTATACATAATAAATAAATATGTTTCTTAAAAATGTAATTTTAGCCTGGCATTGGTGGCGCACGCCTTTAATCCCAGCACTTGGGAGGCAGAGGCAGGTGGATCTCTGTGAGTTCGAGGCCAGCCTGGACTACCAAGCGAGTTCCAGGACAGCCTCCAAAGCCACAGAGAAACCCTGTCTCGAAAAACCAAAAAAAAAAATGTAATTTTAAAAACAAAAAGGCCAGGCATTAGGACACATGCCTGTACTCCCAGCACTCAGGAGGCAGAGGCAGACAGATCTCTGAGTTCAAGACCAGCCAGGGCTACATAGTAAGACCCTGTCTCAAAAAAAATCCTTATCTATGGAAAATGTTGCTTATCTAGCTCAATAGCTGCTCGTCACAGTGACTACTGAACACCTGAGATAGATGTGTTACTGAAAAGGAACAGAAGAAAAGGCAAAGCTGCCCCTGGTGTTCCAGGCCTGTAATCTTCTAACAGGGAGGTCTGCAGCACGAGATCCCAAGTTCAGATCTCAGAGTTTGCTAAGCAGGGGTCTGGTTAGTGCTTGGAAGGGAGAGCTTGAGTTCAAGGCCAGTTAGCAAGACCTTGTTGGGGAGTTGCAGGGGAGGAAGGAAGACAGATACTCATCGAGTGGGAATTTACCTCAGGAGCCTGGCAACCTGAGTCCTTTGCCTGGAACTGGAGGTGGAAGGAGCCAGCCCCACAGCTATTCTCCCATTTCTACATGTGGGCTGCAGCAGACATGGCTCCTCCCATCACACATCATAGTGATAAAATAAATAGATGCTAAGAAAAAGGAGCCGGTGAGAGGGCTCAGAGGGGACGAGCGTTTGCCACACAGGTGGCTCCAGTTCAATTCCACATAAAGGTGGAAAGAGAGAACTTATTCCATAGCAGTCCTCCACCCCAACACACACACACACACACACACACACACACACACACACACACACACAGTCCTCCACCCCCAACACACACACACACTGTCCTCCACCACCAACACACACACACACACACTGTCCTCCACCACCAACACACACACACACACTGTCCTCCACCACCAACACACACACACACACACTGTCCTCCACCACCAACACACACACACACACACACTGTCCTCCACCACCAACACACACACACACACTGTCCTCCACCACCAACACACACACACTGTCCTCCACCCCCAACACACACACACACACTGTCCTCCACCCCAACACACACACACACACACACACACACACTGTCCTCCACCACCAACACACACACACACACTGTCCTCCACCACCAACACACACACACACACACACACACACTGTCCTCCACCCCCAACACACACACACACTGTCCTCCACCCCAACACACACGCACGCACGCACGCACGCGCACGCACGCACGCTAGACATGCTGAAATACTGGGGATATTTCTGTTGTAGAGTGTTCGACTAGCCCTGAATTTGACCCCTAGCAACACAGAAGCAGAGAGCCATAGTACATGCCAATAGTCCCAGACTCAGGAGGTGACAGAAGCAGAAAGATCAAAAGTCATCGTCAATTCAACTACACAGTGAATTTGAAGCCAGCCTGGGCTTCATGAGACCTTAACTAAAATAAAACCGTAGGACAGGACTGAGAAACCAAAACTGTATTTAAATTTAAATAACCAGAGCTGCAAAGTTGACTGTGGTTAAGAGTACTTGCTGCACCGGGTGTTGGTGGTGAACGCCTTCAATCCCAGCACTCGGGAGGCAGAGGCAGGCGGATCTCTGTGAGTTTGAGGCCAGCCTGGTCTACAGAGTAAGGTCGAGGACAGCCTCCAAAACAATACAGAGAAACCCTGTCTTGAAAAAAACAAAAAAGAAAAGAAAAAAAAGAGTATTTGCTGCTCTCGCAGAGGGTTAGGGTTCAATTCCCAGAACTTTTACAACCTCTGTAACTCTGGTTCCAGGGGACGACTATCCTCTTCTGACCTCCACAGACCCCAGACAAACACGGTACACTGACACGCGCAGGCAAAACACACTCATAAACACTAGAGCCAATCTTAGGAAATATAGTTGCTTTGGTCTGTTAGCTACTATTCTGGGTAGAATAACTCTACAGAACATTGAGCCTTGTTTGTTTGTTGGAGACAAGTTTTCACTCTGTAGTTTTGGAGCCTGTCCTGGAATCCTGGAACTTGCTCTGTAGACCAGGCTGGCCTCAAAGTCACAGAGATCTGCCTGCCTCTGCTGGGATTAAAGATGTGCACCACCACCACCTGTCTCCCTTAATGAATTTATTAATTTGTTCATTTATTCACTCATTCACAGACAGGATCTTACTATGCTCCCAGGGTAGATTTGAACTCCTCCAACTGCAGCCTCTAGAAAGCAGGGACTACAGACATCGATACCACACCTGCTCTTATTGCTTTTGTATTGCCTAGGTCTAGCAGCATCTTCCTTGGCTAGTATCTATTTTATTTTTACTTTTATTTATTGTGTGTTCCACTCTATATGTCAAAGCGTATGTGTGGACATCAAATGACAGCTTGTGTGAATTAGTGTTCACCTTTCACCATGTGAGTCCTAGAAATTGAACTCAAGTGATCAGGTTTGGCAACAAGTGTTTATTTGTTTGAAGTCTCATGGAGCTCAGGCTAGCCTAAAAATATTTGTGCCACTGAAACTTGATCCTTTCACCTCCCACGTGTTGGAACTATAGGTATATACCACCAAGCTTGGCTTTGGCCTTTCTTTCTTTCTTTTTTTTCTTTCTTTTTTTTTTTTTTTTTTGTTTGTTTTTCGAGACAGGGTTTCTCTGTATTGTTTTGGAGACTGACCTGGAACTCACAGAGATCCGCCTGCCTCTGCCTCCCGAGTGCTGGGATTAAAGGCGTGCGCCACCACCACCGGGCTTGGTATTTCTTTCTTTTTGTGATTGAGTGTGTGCACTGTGCAGTATACATATGTGTGCAGGCGGCAGACAACTTCAGGAGTATAGTCCACCTTCTTTAAGACAGTCTCTCATTGTCCTTGAGCTCACCAATTAGGCTAGACTGTCTGGCCAGCAAGTGTAGAGGATGCTCCCGTCTCTGCCTCCCGAGTAGCTCAGGTTACCACATTTTTACATAGAGATGGAATCAGTTCCTTAAGCTTGCACGGCAAGCATTTTCCCAGCTGAGCAACCCCCCTACCCAGTCCTTGGTTTACTTTTTAAGGCGGTGGCTGAGGTGGAGCTCAGCATTTGTGAGACCCTAGGTTCAAGCCCAGCCCAAAACAAAACTTTAGGGGCTATGACTTAGAAATCTTAGGAATCAGAGACAGTTTTGGGGTGAACTATTTACAAGAACCATTCAGTTCTGAGATGGACAGGGTTCTCCTGAAAGGTCGTTGACACATTGTCTGGATGCTCTTGGCTTTGGTTACTCGGTGGTTCTGCTTTACCAGGTTTTCTTCTGATTAGGGCTGTACATAATACAGAGGTGAAGGTAGCTAAGGACAGTTTCTAGAAGGTGGCTGTATGTTAGGCCAAAACAAGGTAGGTATAGATCCTTGAACTGGCCTCTGACTTGAGTCATCTATCATTAGGGTGACTCTGGGGGACCGCTGGTCTGTGAGGATGGTGGCCGCTGGTTCCAGGCAGGAATCACCAGCTTTGGCTTTGGCTGTGGACGGAGGAACCGCCCCGGGGTGTTCACTGCAGTGGCTCCCTACGAGTCCTGGATACGGGAACAGGTGATGGGTTCAGAGCCTGGGCCTGCCTTCCCCAGCCAGCTTCACAAGCCCCAGTCAGGACCCCAGGAGCCCAGAGAAGAAAACTGTACCTTTGCCCAACCAGGTGAATGGCTGGCGCGCTGAGCCTGACTGAGCTGGGGTGGAGGCTGCAGGGTCGATTTCTGCAGACCCCCTGACCCAGGCCTCTCATCTCTCAGAGTGCGGGAAGGCTTCGCGGCCAGGGATCTGGCCCTGGGAGGCCCAGGTGATGGTGCCAGGCTCCAGACCCTGCTATGGAGTTCTGGTGTCGGACAGCTGGGTCTTGGCACCCGCCAGCTGCTCTCTGGAGTGAGTGAGAATCCACGTATCAGGCACTTTTGCCCCTTCCCACATTAGTCAGAGACTGACTCAGCCCTTCCTCTGGGGTGGGAGTTGTACCTCAGTCTGTAGTGGGGTCCCCGCTGGAGAGTATAGAACCCAGCACAAAGCGGAGGAGTCTGTCGAGAGTGGGTAGGAGGCTTCATCCAAAACGCCAGAGCCCGAATAAGAGAGTAGGGAGTGGGGTTCCAGCGTCGGGCGAAACATCCCAACCCGGAGATGCAGTCTAAGCCTGGGAAGGTAGGTTTGCCGCGTGTGTGCTGAATGCGCACGCGTCCTCAGCTACCCCATCCAGCAGCCCCGCACCTCTGACAGCCCACCCCGCGACCTTGAAGCCTGGCGGGTGCTGCTGCCCTCGCGTCCGGAGGGGGAGAGGGTGGCGCGCCTCGTGCCGCACGAGAACGCTTCCAAGGACTCCGCCTCGGACCTGGCGCTGCTGCAGCTGAGGACGCGCGTGAACCTGACCGCCGCACCGAGTGCCGTGTGCCTGCCCCATCCCGAACACTTCTTCCTGCCCGGGAGCCGCTGCCGCCTGGCTCGCTGGGGCCGCGGGGGTGCGCGGGGCCCCGGACTGGGTGGGGTGGGCGGAGCGGGGACCAAGCGGCCGAAGCACCCTCTCGCTGCTCTCTCCCCCAGAACCCGCGCCCGGCTCCAGCGCGCAGCTGGAGGCGCAGCTGATGAACAGCTGGTGGTGTCACTGCCTGTACGGCCGCCAGGGGGCGTCAGTGCCGCCGCCAGGAGACCCGCCGCATTTGCTTTGCCCCGCCTACCTGGAGGAGGAAGAGGCGGGCCAATGCTGGGTGAGCGGCAGGAGCTCGCCGCGAAAATCCGGTCCTAACCCGCACTCAGCTGGGGGCGGGACGGGGCGGGGCGCACTGGGTGGTGCCAAAATTCGTTTAGTCCTTGCTGTTTTTTCGAGACTGGGTTTTCTGTGTATCCTTGTCTGTCTTGGAACTCACTCTGTGCACCAGGCTGGCCTCGATGTCAGAGACCTGCCTCGGCGTGCGCCTTCACGCCCGGCTTATTCCTTCTTTTAAGGCGTGAGTGTTGGAGATCCAAGCCCGGGTCCTCGTGAAGCAAGAGCTTTACCAACTGAGCCATCTCCTCAGCCCGAGTTTGGCAATTTTAATTTAAGAGAGGGCTGAAGCTGGGCGCACGCCTTTGAGTTCCGGGACAGCCAGAGCTACACAGAGAAACCCTTGTCTCTAAAAAGAGGGAGGATGAGAAGGTGTTGGAGTTTGTCAAGTGAGGGCTAGATTTTTACGCAAATTAGTGTTGGAACTTGACCGGAAGTGTGTTTGATTAGTCCACGAAAGGAGAATCAGTGAAAAGTGTTTACACTCTGATTAGCCTCTCCGCCGATACAGCAATGTAAATCAAACCGAATTAGAAAAAGCCCACGTTTAATGGATACAAAGCTCCCTGGTAGCCTTCCAGCCTCCTAAAGAGGAGAGGGGGGAGACGACCACGAGTCTGTTCTGGGGAGGGCAGTTTAAATACCCTGTGGGAGTGGTCTTGAGCATCTCTGGGGGTCGAAGCTTCCACCGTAACAATCAGGATCCCAGGAAAGCCGAGAAAAAGCTGAGTATCTCTGCACCTGTAGCCTGCGCTCACGCTAGTAATAATACTGTTATGCTACAGAAAGATGCGGGTTGGAGCCTTCTGTGTCGTGAGGAGGGGACGTGGTTCCTGGCTGGACACAGAACCCTCTCAAATGGTTGTCTCCGCCCCCGAGCCTTCTCTCCACTGCAGACTCACGGGCCATGGATCAGTCATGTGACTCAGGGAGCGTACCTGGAAGATCAGCTAACCTGGGACTGGGGCCCTGAGGGGGAGGAGACTGAGAAACAGATTTGTCCCCCACACACTGAGCACGGTGGTGAGCAGTGAGTGGTCTGTGAGGCTTTAGGGGTTCCTGGGAGCACGTAGCTTTGGAACTCCCGCTGACTTGGTCACCTCCTCTCTCTAGCCTGTGGCCTAAGGCCAAAGGCCACTCCAGCTGGTGCGTTGTGGCCCTGGCTGACAGAAGTGCATGTGACTGGTAATCGAGTCTGCACTGGGATTCTGGTTGCCCCGGGCTGGGTCCTTGCAGCCACTCACTGTATTCTCAGGTGGGTCTCTCCTAGCCACAGGCAGCATGAGAAAGATTAGGTGATAAATCAAGAGCTCTTTCGGTAATAGGACTTTGTCACTTCGGGCTTCGTTTATACAGGAAAAGCTTTGCTGGGATGTTTTGGTTTGGCTGGCTGGGGGTGGGGAGGGTCTGTGAAATCTTTTGAGACATCAGAGAAATCCTTCTGCTGGGAAGGACTTCACCAGTTATGGAAGAAATAGGAGATGATGCTGTTTCCTGTTCCTACAGGCTGGGCTCTACAACAGTGCCTTACATTGAAGTGTATCTGGGCCAGGCAGGGGCCCGCTCCCTCCCACAGGGCCACCAGGTGTCTCGCTCGGTCATCAGCATTCGCCTGCCCAGGCACTTAGGACTTAGACCCCCCCTGGCCCTACTGGAGCTGAACTCTCAGGTGGCGCCTTCCCCATCAGCTCTGCCCATCTGCCTCCAGCCAGGGGGAATTCCCCCGGGGGCCAGCTGCTGGGTGCTGGGCTGGAAAGACCCCCAGGACAGAGGTGAGAGCCCTTGGGTAATGGAAATGAGGAGTGACCTCAAGCCAGAACCCTATACAGTTCTCTCTCCTCTTTAGTTCCTGTAGCTGCTGCTGTCACCATCCTGACACCACGACTCTGTCACTGCCTCTATCAGGGCATTCTGACTCCTGGAACCTTCTGTGTCCTCTATACTGAGGGGCAGGAAGATAAATGTGAGGTACAGGGGTCTAGGCATCCCCGGGACCAGGGAGGGGAAAGATAGTTCCAGGCAACTAGACCCTATTCAGATCGGAATTTCTTGGTATTGGGCTCCAGATAAGAACAAGTGGTATTTCTGGTCCACACCTTAGAGAGGAACCAGGGTACCTAAGGGTGGAGACAAGCAGGGCTTTGTGACTGGACCCTAGGGGAGTTAAGAGGACCAGGGGCAAGGGTAGCAGACCCATTTGGCCTTGGCTCCAACTTTGCAGGTGACCTCGGCACCTCCCCTCCTGTGCCAGACTGAGGGAGGCCCCTGGGTTCTCATGGGCATGGCTGTTCGAGGTAGCCAGGAGCTGTTTGCAGCCATTGGCCCTGAAGCTGCTTGGATATCGCAAACAGTGGGAGAAGCCCATTTCCTTCCTCCTAGTGGTTCCCCCTACTGGCCTCCTGAAGACAGTGACCTGTGCCACCAAGACTTGGCAGGAGCTGCAAGCTCCCCTAGGGCAGCCGCTCTGCTTCTGCTCCCACTGGCTCCCCTGATCCAGGGCTGAGTCTGGCTCCTCTTCACACCACCCATAAGGGCTGGAATGTGGCCCAGCCGGCCAGCTCCCAGGCCTGGAGAGGGCCTCATCCACCTATACTACACTAGCTTTCAGATCATCAGACCTCAGTGCTGGCTGCTTTGAACCTAAGAGTCCTTGGGAGTGCTGGAGGAAGAGACAATAAAGACGTAAATACAGACACGTGGCCTTGTGGCATGTCTTAGGTTGCTGAGGGCCCGAACACCTCAGAGCTAAGGGGAAAGCCCCAAGGATAGGGCTCTTCCCTCTTGGTGAGTCAGGCCTTGGGATCCCAGGAAATGTGTCCCCTATAACGTGGCAGCTGGGCGGGGGAGGCTAGGTGGACAGCTGGTTGTGTGTCACCTCTCCATTGGAATTAGTGTCTCCAGCACCTGCAGCATACCTCAGCCCTGGCTTGGTACCCACTGGACTAGGAAGTCTTGGGATGTAAAAGTCAGCCCTAAATATTACACCCTAGTGTATAATGTACATTCTTAGAGTCTCTCCCTGTGAGTGCATACACACACGAACCTCCGCACCCTTCAGGAAACGCTCACTTGTCCATCGTAACCAGTGCTCTCAGGATTTGGGCCACATTCACACAAATCCCACCCCTGTGTCTGCCACTCACCTGTTAATTCAATCCATACCCCACTATCTGGCAAGGCATGAAAACTGGAGCCTGAAAAATAAGTTCATGACGTGCTGGTGTCCCCCCGTCAAGTGGGAAGGAAACGCATGTGGCCACTCCTTGACTAGGGATCACGAAATGGTCAGAGGAGGAATGAGATTTGAGGGCGTAAAGACAGCAAACACGGAGCTGAGGAAAGGGTGGAAGTCTTACTGGGTGAGCAGAGGGGTCCCTCCCGAGGTTGGGGGTCGCAGTCTGTTACACGGGCAGAGACTAGGGAAGGGAGACCAGAAGAGAGTAGCAGGTGACAAAGGCAGGCTGCAAGGGGTAGCAGCTGTTAAATTCTAGGTAGCACAGTGACCATTCTTCAGGCCCTCCCAGGAAGTGCATTTATCTACCTGCTCTCGGTACCAAGCCAGCTACCCCCACACGGACCCTGCCTCATTGTTTCCCTAAACACACCCTGACTCCCAGGCTTGCCCCTCCCCCCAAGTCAACCTCTCCTCTTTACCTCCGCTAGGAATTCTCTGACCCCTGGGCTGGGCTGGAGTCCAAATGCCTAGGCTTCTAGGAAGAGAGGGGAGGAAGTAAGGGTCTATTCTTCCTCAAGCTTAAGCCTAAGCCACATCCCAGGTGCCACACTGACTTGCCTGCCTTTCCCTGAACTCCTACTGTGTGCCTGTGCTTGTGTGTGTACACACATGCTTGCACCCATACAAGCAAGTCCTGAGCCTACTGCTCTCCGCCTTGCTTTTGAGACGGGTTTCAATGAACCTGGAACTTGCTGTTTGGTCTAGACTAGCCAGGACCTGCGGTCTCCACTTTCTCCCACCCAGTGCTGTACTATGCTTACCAACGTGGACCGCCACACCCAGCTTGTCCTTCGGTGCTGGGATCTGAACTCAGGTCTTCATGCTTGCACAGCAAGCACCTTACCCACTGAGGCCCTCCCTAGCCCCTTCCCCTGGATTTCCACCCCGGCACACTATACTACAGATGTGCGCCTGCTTTACCACACCCCAGCTTTGCCTTTTTTTGGGGGGAGGGGGACCGCTACGTAACCCTGTCTGTCCTGAAACTAGCTATGTAGACCAGGCTGGCCCCAAACCGCAGAGCTCCACTTGCCGTTGGGGGGAGGAGGACATGGGGAGAGGGACAGGACAGGACGACTGGACAACAACTGGGATTTAGAGGCATGGCCACCATGCTGGGCCCAGCTCTGTCAACTTTGTTTTGTTAGCATTTTTCCGTGTCCTCTTAGGATGTGGTTCTCAACACTCTTCCTCCAGGACCTCTCCAGCTACTGTGCAATTAAGAGTCACCGCTCGGTTTTGTCTGTCGCAGTTCCTAGTTTAAATGATTCAATGATTGCCTTTTATTATTTGATTCAAGTCTGACATCCCTACTTCATCATAATCTCAAGGAGGTCATGGATGGTATAGTGTGCCACTTGTGCCTGGGGCCACAGTAGGTACTCAGCAAATACTTGTTGGATGATTGTCAACAGCCAGACAGCTCAACACCTGCAAGAAGGCTGCAAGCTTCACGGAGGAATGGCCCTGGCCTGGGGCATCCCCCATGTCCAGTCTTAGATACCTGGCCTGAGGAAGGAGGGAAGGAGTGAGCGGCGGCTGTGGCCCCTCAATAATAAAGTCTGGGCCAGGCTGCTGTGTGAGGGGTCGGGGTGGGGGTACTGAGAACCAGGAACACCTGGGACGTTGGCTGGCCCTGAGGGTTTCCAGCCCCGCCTTAGAAGACTGCTTTCTGACTGGCCAGGATCGGTTTTCCTCCTACCAAAACCACCCCCACTCCCCAAGGAGTCTGAAAGGGCTACAGAGGTCAGAAGCGGGGGGGGGGGGGAAGCCCACTGCTTTCAGCCAGGAGGGCGTGGCTGAGGGAGGAGCCCACAGGTAGTAGCTTTCTGCCCAGGTGCCTGCAGAGGTCTCTGTGGTGACCAGGTTGTAAGGCGCAGCAGGTCCACACTGGTCACCGCCGAGACTAAAGGTGTGTCTTCCATTCCCTGTGGCCATTTCCTGCCAAGAAGCCCCACGTCCACGCTTGCTTCACCTCTCCATTCTAGATCTTGGGATTCCTCCTTCCGAGCCGACATCCAGATCCGGCCTTCAAAGCCAGCCTTCCATTCCTTCCTTTTCTACCTCGGGTCTCCCGCCCGCCCGCCCGGGAGCTCTCGACCTGGGCCATGGCCCTAATGGTGGGCCGGGGACCTGGGCAGCGAGAAGCTGTGGCCATTCTGCTTCTTATGGGATTGCTCCAGCCAAGAACGGGTAAGTGTGGGTGGACCGGGAGGGAGGGCTGGAGAGAGGGCACTGTCGCGAGCAGGCAGAGCCCTGTGTAGAGCATGACTCTCCATATTCCCACCATTTAGCCATCTTCTCCTGTCAGCCTCCTAAGCAAGGCGTCCTGGGGAAACTGGCTGTAACTAAGGGGTCTGGGAACTCAGGCCTCCCTGCTTACTCCTCCCTTTCTTTCCCTCCAGGAGCTGCCGGGGCTGAAGGTGAGGCTTTCTGGGGAACTGGGAGAGGGGAAGTGGGGGCACACCAGTTTGGAGTCCCCTGCTGGGTTTTAGGAACGCTTGTCACCCTGCTGAGTGCTCACCTAACCACACTAAGTGCCCCAACAGTTCTGTGAGTATGGAGCCATGGCTCTTGTTTTATGAGGAAACTGAGGTGAAGAGAAACAGGGAGTGTCCAACGGCAGAAATGGAAGTCTGACTCTCGTGTGGGTACCTGAGGTGGCTCCGAGGAAACTACACAGACCAGCTCCTAGGCAGACTGGTTTTCAGTCCCAGCTTAACTATTTAGTGGCCTGGTCTCCTTCTCTTTCTAAGCTCCAGTTTCTTTGCCTTGAAAAGCTGTCTGCTCTGTTTTTCTAGGGTTGCAGTGAGGATTCCCAGAGATTGGGAAGTGAAAGCCCCTTTGGGCCTAGACTCACCACATCAGGCTAAGTAGTAGCCATCTTCATGATTATGAGGGCATGGAGGGAGTCTGGTGGCTGTTTGCTCTGCTTGGGGAAGATGTGAAGAAAGGCAGTCGTAACTCCACTCTCCTGCTAGCTCAGTGGGAGCAGGTTCACATGACAGAGAATGCAATTGTTCCGTGTTCAGCCACATCCATGCCTGTGTGCTCTGTGTGGGTTAGGGTGTCCCCAGGTAACGCACAGGCTGGTGCAGTTGGGACAGTCATAGGCATGAGAACAGGTGTCAGCCTGGACAGTGGCAAGAGAGGGCCCTGGACGCTGAGAGCAATACCTGTGACTCAGCCAGCTCACTCAGAACAGACTGTGGAGGGGCCGCACTTAGGAAGGCTCTTTGACCTCGAAGAGGAAGGGTGGGGAAGGCTTAAGAGCACAGTGATCGGGATTAACAAAGGTCCAGAGGTGAGTAGTGTGTGGACCAACCTGTGACAGGAAGCGTCCTGCTGGATAGTCAGAGGATAGCGCCATGTGCATCTGAACACATCTTTTTTTTTTTTTGGTTTATGACACAGGGTTTCTCTATGGCTTTAGAGGCTGTCCTGGAGCTAGCTCTTGTAAGACCAGGCTGGTCTCGAACTCACAGAGATCCACCTGCCTCTGCCTCCCGAGTACTGGGATTAAAGGTGTGCTCCACCACCACCCGGCTTGAACACATCTTTTTTGTTTGTTTGTTTGTTTGTTTGTTTGTTTTTTGGTTTTTCGAGACAGGGTTTCTCTGTGGCTTTGGAGGCTGTCCTGGAACTCGCTTGGTAGTCCAGGCTGGTCTCGAACTCACAGAGATCCGCCTGCCTCTGCCTCCCGAGTGCTGGGATTAAAGGCGTGCGCCACCAACGCCCGGCGAACACATCTTTTTTAAATTCTTTAAAATTTAGTATTTTGCCTGTATTAATGTATGTGTGTCACATGAGTGTCCAGAGCCTTTGGAGATCAGAAAGTATCAGATCCTCTGGAACTAGAATTTAGGAGAGTTGGGAGCTGCCATGTGGGTGCTGGAAACCAAATCTAGCCTGTGCAAGAGTAGTAAATGCTCTCAACAGCTGAGCCATCTCTCCAGCCCCTGGAATGTGCTGTCTCTTAAGGTCAGTTGGAGCCATGGAAGAGCTCAAGACTGTGATTGGCCACATTTGTAGTTGATGAAGTGTCAGATATGTAAAGGACAGATTGGATAGAAAGCAAGAAGGCTTGAGAGGAAGGGGGTGCCAGGACACTTGAACAGGGTGGCACCGGGTAGTGAGCTTCTCGAGCCGCTGCACCATAGAGCGGGGATGGCAGTGAATGTGAACGCGCTTCCCAGAACCAAGTCTGCAGGGCGGCAGGGCTGAGGACTGCTGTGGGTACACGAAGTGCCAGCCCTCACCTTCCCTTCTCCCATGCACAGCCTCCTGTGGTGTAGTCATGCAGCCACGCATCACAGGTGGTAGCAGCGCAAAGCCTGGCCAGTGGCCTTGGCAGGTCAGTATCACCTACGACGGCATCCATGTGTGTGGCGGGTCTCTCGTGTCGGATCAATGGGTGGTGTCAGCTGCTCACTGCTTCCCCAGGTACCAACTCGGTGGAGGGGCAGAGGGAGGGTCAAGAGTGGGTTGGAAATAGTGTTTGGGTGACAGTCCTGAAATTCCAGTACTTGGGAGGTGGAAGCAGGATCAGAAGTTCAAGATCATCCACAGCTACTACCTAGTAAATTCAAGGCCAGCTTGACCCTGTTTACATTAGACCCTATTGAGAGACAGAGAGACAGAGAGAGAGAGAGAGAGAGAGAGAGAGAGAGAGAGAGAGAGAGAGAGAGAGAGAGAGAGAGAGAGAGAGAGAACAATCCTGCAAGATCATTGTAAGTCAGACTAGTTTCTGGGGTGGGATTAGAGTATCAATAGTCAGCCTGGCAGTGGTGGTGCATGCCTTTAATTCCAGCACCCGGGAGGCAGAGACAGTCAGATCTCTGTGAGGTTGAGGCCAGTCTGGTCTCCAGGGTGAATTCCAGGCAGACTCCAAAGCTACTGAGAAACCCTATCTTGAAAGAAAAAAAAGATCTCTGTTCAAGGCTCACTTAGTATACAGGCTAGCCAGGGATAAATAATGAGCTCCTATCTCATAAATAAGTAAATAAATAAAAGGGACCAGCCAAAGGTAAAAGTGAGGGGTTAGGGTCATGGGATCTGAGTCAGGACAGCATAAGGCGGCAGGTGTCAGTGTTTAGAAGAGGTCTCTCAGGTCCTACCCTTTGCTTCCCTGCCTGCAGAGAACACTATAGGGACCAATATGAAGTAAAGCTGGGAGCCCACCAGTTAGACTCCTACAGCAATGACACTGTGGTCCGCACAGTGGCTCGTATCATCTCCCACTCAAGCTACCGTGAAGAGGGCTCCCAGGGTGACATTGCTCTCGTCCACCTTAGCAGTCCTGTCAACTTTTCCCGCCACATCAAACCCATCTGCCTCCCTGCAGCCAATGCCTCCTTTCCCAACGGCCTCCACTGTACTGTCACAGGATGGGGTCATGTGGCCCCTTCAGGTGAGGTGGGGCACTAGGTGCTAAGAGACAGGGACGGGAAGCTGACTGAGGTTGGGGACCCTAAATGCATTTTGTTTCCACAGTGAGCCTCCAGACACCCAAGCCACTGCAGCAGCTTGAGGTACCACTGATCAGCCGTGAAACCTGTAGCTGCCTGTACAACATCAATGCCGTGCCTGAAGAACCCCATACTATCCAGCCGGACATGCTGTGTGCTGGCTATGTGGAGGGAGGCAAGGATGCTTGCCAGGTAAGCACAAGGGCCCAGGAGCACAGGAGACCAGTGCGCCCTGAGAGGTGCAGGGCTGAGTGGAGCTGCCTGGGTGATTGTTGTCAGAGGTCTGTCCTGACAGAACTTTCTTTTTCCTTAGGGTGACTCTGGGGGCCCGCTCTCTTGTCCCATAGAAGGCCTCTGGTATTTGGCAGGCATTGTGAGCTGGGGTGATGCCTGTGGAGCCCCTAACAGGCCTGGAGTATATACTCTGACTTCTACCTATGCCTCCTGGATCCACCACAATGTGGCAGAACTCCAGCCTCGAATGGTTCCCCAAACTCAGGAGTCCCAGCCAGATGGCCACCTCTGCAACCATCATCATGTTTTCAACTCAGCTGCAGCCCAGGGACTGTTAAGGCCCTTACCTTTCCTGCCACTGGGCCTGACCCTGGGCCTCTTCTGCCTTTGGTTTGAACATTAAGCTACTTAACCCTCAAAGTTGACCATGCTTCCAAGACCAAAAGCACACCCAAGGACATGTGCCTGTTCTGGAGGGCAGTGCACCAACCTGATCTTTGAGCCCTTCAGCTGCATTTGCTCTTTGGGATTATAATCTAGGGCCAAGAAGTTACAGCCTGTGGAATGGGCCAGAAATTTTAGCCATCTTTCTCTGTTATCTGCAGCTTATTGGTTAGGCTCCTACAGAGCTCCCAGAAGCCTCAGCTAGGAAAATGAGCCCTGACTTCAACCTGTGTCTAGTTCACAGGACAGCTGCCTAGCTGACTGCTTCGAAAGGCTGGCTTCAGGGCCTACCCATCCTGCCTGATGAGCCCATTACTTTGTCCTCTCTCTGTCTCCCTTTCAGACAGGGAAGACCTCAGCTTTACTCCACTGGCTGCCAAGCCTGCTTTGAGCCCAACTCCTGGACTCCGGAGGACTGAGCCCCCACCGGAGCTGGCTGGGGCTTGGATCAGGGAGAGGGATAAAAGGAGCAAGGAGCAAATGTTTTAAACACAACTGGCTATATGTGAGGTGAAATGGAGAATGTCACCCTTTGGCATCTCCTTTGTACCTCTAAAGTCCAGCACACCAGCAGAATTTACTTTATTAAAAAATGACACAAAACAGGTCTGTACACATATTTACAGGTTAGAGGCCAGGAGACGCTGGTCCAAAGAAGGGCACAAGCCACTCACTTCTTGGAAAGCTTGACTTGTTTGTGCTTGGGGGGTGCCCACTTGAGGCAGACAGAGTCCACTGTGGGAGAGAAGAGGCATGAGAGGCCTGTGGGTCAAGTCTGCTTACACCTGGCTGCTCTTTCTGGGCCCAGGCCAGGTTTCACCTTCTCAGGGTGAGAACAAAAGGGCAACCTCAGTCCTGAAGAGGGGGAGGGAATCCCAGGAATGAGTAACCTGCTCTAGGTTGCAGTCCTAGAAGCTGGTCCAACTGGTTTGGGATCTTTTAACAGGGAAAAAAAAAGGGAGGGGGAAGGACTTGGCTCTTATCCCACCCTGTCAAACACACGTGTTCTTGAGCACATGCACACACACACACACACACACCACACACACACACACACACACACACACACGCAGCAGCATGCAACACACCTGTGATAGGTGGTTTCTTATACTGGGCACTTTTGAGGTGTTCCTCTACCAGCTTAGGTGTGACACAGATCACGTGCTGGCCCTTCCAGTACTTGACCATGTTGAGGGACTGCAGGGTGCTAATGATGTCATTCTGGGTGATGCTGGTCATTTGACTGTAGAGAAGGAATAGAGCACATGAAGACAGCAAAAGGGACAAGAGACAAGATCCATGATCAACCTTAGGAGAGCCCATTCCTGGAGGATTCCAAGACGATCCTTTACACAAGCCCTGATGGACAGTGTATCCTGGACCTGGCTGGAAACCAGGGTTCTTACCTGAGATCTTTGATAGACAATGTGCCCCGGAAGTCCCGCAGGATCTCTAGCAAGACCCATGACCAGTAGCTTCGGTAGCTGAGTTTACCCAGGTCACTCAGTGGCTTCTCTGGAGAGCCTACAGTGCTCTCCAGCTTGGAGAGCTCATAACCTGGCAGCGACACAAAGAGAGCCTTAAAGATACAGCTTCTCCCCACCCCACCTCATTCTTCCCAACTAGACAGCAGCAGCTACTCACTGAAAGCAATGAGAAACTTCCCATAGCCACGCCGCTGGTAGGGGGGGCAATGTCAGGATGCAGGCCACATTGTTTCCATCGGGGGATTCCTTCTCCTGTGGAGTACAAGGTTTTCAGGTCCTTTGGGGGTCCTAGCCCCCATTCTGGTTTATAACACCCTCTTCCCAGGCTCCCCAATCTAGTACCTTAGAAAAGTAGCCGACAATGTGGGCCCCTTGCCTATCTACTTCCGTCAAAATGTAAAAGACAAAGGGCTCCACGTCAAAATACAAGGTCTTGTGGTCCAGGAAAAGCTTAGCCAGCAGACACAGGTTCTGACAATATATCTAGGGATAAGAGGTAGAAACATGCTAAGCAAACAGTACAATGCCTCCACTGTCTGGGACCAGCAGCCACTCTGAAATGCTCTAAGTGCCAGCTGCACAGAGGAGCCAGTCAGGGAAGGGGACAAAGCACCTCCCCACCCCCCACCCCCCAGGGAACAGAACCCAAAGCAGAAAGGAGTCTTCCAGTCAGTGAGGCAGACAGGAAGGAGGCCCAAAGAGAAGTTTATTTGCACCACAGTAACAGGAAAGCTAGACTGATCATAGCTCCCCTTATTATTTATTTAGTTTTTGAGACAGGGTCTCATGTCCTGGCTGGCTTGGCCTCAAACACAAAGAGATCTGCCTGCTTCTGCCTCCTGAGTTCTGGGACTACAGGTGTGTGCCAGCATGTCTAACTATCAGACACTTTTTTTTGTTGTTGTTGTTTTTTCCAGACAGGGTTTCTCTGTGGCTTTGGAGGCTGTCCTGGAACTAGCTCTGTAGACCAGGCTGGTCTCGAACTCACAGAGATCCGCCTGTCTCTGCCTCCCAAGTGCTGGGATTAAAGGCGTGCGCCACCAATGCCCGGCCTATCTGACACTTTAAAATATTAAATTTTGTTAGTGCGTTGTGGCACACACGTGCAGGTCAGAGAGCAACTTCTAGCTGCTATTCTCTCTTTCCAGTATGGGTTCCAGGATAAACTCCGGGTGTCGGGCTTACATAGCCAGCACCATAACTGTTTAGCCATCTGACCACTTTTGAAGGCTAAATAAAGGGTAGGGTCTTATATGCATAATTGGCTTCAATCTTCATAGACATTAACTTGTGTTTCAGAACAAGAAACTGAGGCCCAGAGAGAAGAGTGCATTAAGTTCCACAGCTGGTGAATGCCAGGGCAGAAACTCAGCTGGGTCCAGGCTCTGTCTCACTCACCGACTGGAGAGGTCTCCCCAATCGGTCACAGTTGCTAGGTTTCAGTCTAATTGATGCAGACAGAGGTCCACTGAGGTCAGTATTAAGAGACAATAGCACCTTACAGTTGGCTTCTTAATACAGATTTAAAGCGTTTCCAATTTTTGGGTTTATTTTTATTTTTGGTGTTTTTTTGTTGTTGTTGTTGTTGGTTTTGTTTTGTTTTCCGAGATAGGGTTTCTGTGTATTGTTTTGGAGGCTGTCCTGGAACTACTCAATCTATATAGACCAGGCTGGCCTTGAACTCAGAGATTCACCTGCCTCTGCCTCCCGAGTGCTGGGATTAAAGGTGTGCACCACCACTGCCTAGCCCTTTTTATTTTTGAGACAGGGTTTAGACAGCTTACAGCCTAGGTTGGTCTCAAATTTGTGGCAATCGTCCTTCCTCAGCATCCTGGGTGCTAAGATTATAGGTGTGAGCCACCACACACTGGATGTCTGGGTTTTTTATACCTCTTCTGCTCTCTTACCCAATCTAACACTGTGTGAGCCCAGCACTGCTAGTCTGAAGTGACTCAGGAGCCTGAGTGGGGACATGTGGTGTTGATTTAAGGCTTCAAAGCTGGCAGAAGGTGGAGCTGGGAAACACCATCCCCACCCCTACCCTGTTTCCAATGGAGGCCTTCTGTCATTCTACCAGTTCAAGCTGAAGGAAGTCAGAGTAGCTGGTAGGGAGGGACCAGGCTCGGTATTCCCCTAGCTCAAGGCCACCTGAGCCCCAGCATGTCTTCAATAACAAGACCATGTTTACTAACAGCCTACTAGATGCCAGTCATGTGCTACATACCTGACATTTGTGGTCTCATTTGTTCCACCAAACAGATGAGGTAAATAATTATGACTCTTATCTTATGGATGCGGAAACAGGGACAAAACAAAGTTAAGTAACTTGTGAGGCCAACCAGGAAGTGACATGGTAATCTAAGAAGCCTACCCTCTTGTACTACATGGCCCTTCAGGGGAGACTTGAACACTTGCTAAAGCCCTCCCAGACCCAGCAGGAAGAAGCAAAGGAGGCCACCAAAGCCCACCCCTGCTCCAAGTGAAGCCATTCCTCTGAGAAGCAGGAACTCAGGCTGCAGTTCACAGTTTGTAAGAGTAGGAAATCTCTTACAAAGCCTTTCCCCTTCCAGGCAAACATCTCGGGTCACCTAGAAGCAGGAAACTGAGAGCAGCCTCAGGCAAGACAGTCTCTACTTGAGGCTCCAGAACTACCTTGCCAGTGGTGGAGCCCCCAGAAACAGGGGAGACCTAGCCTGAGGTGGTTTACCATATGGCTGTGTTAACTATGCACCAACACAGCCAAGTACCAAGCAACACGAGACCTCACTTGGCCAAGAGTAGCTATAGATACCCACTGAAGGCTGGCGCCTGCCTGGTGGAAGTGAAAAGAACTGCCCAGGAGACGCCAGTCTCCCTCGAGTCCTGGGCTACCAGCTCACCTTATGGTCTTTGCCATCCACTTCATACACAGAGATGTTGCTCTTGCGATAGATCTCCTTCCCAGGGGGCTGCCGCCACTGACACTGGCCCTGGGGAACCGGGTGAGGGAACAGGCTTCAGACCTCTATTGTCTGCTAAGTGACTCCCACTCAGCACTGTGGCCGAGTCTCTGCCTCTTGGTTTTGCCATATGCAGGCTCTATGTTCAAGCTTTATATCCAGTAGCCTTTGTTTCCTCATAGAATAGGGTCTATTTCTTAACCGAGGCACAAAGAGGCAAATGACTTGCAAGTGTCACAATCAACTGATTTGGAGTCTGGCCATGACACCTCTTTTCCTAACGCTCATGTCCAGCTTTGGGAGGCTCCCAGCTGTGCTGGTGAAAAGCGCCCCCTTCCTGCCAACAGCGGTGCAGCACTCCTTCCTACTGGCTGACGTCACTGCTCAGGAGCTGTGCTTGTTACCTCATTTGCCCTGAGGAGCCCAACACCAGGCTTCAGTAAGGGGCAAGGAACTTGAATAGTTTGGTCCCCATTCTGTAGAAGAGGAAACTGAGGTCTGAAGAGTGGCAATGAGCTGGTCAGTTACCCTGCCAGCAGTGGGAAAGCTCTCTATTTTCTTTTTTCCCTCCTTTCTTTAAATAAACTTTAAATTTTTTTTTATTTTCTAGCTGGGCATGGTGGTGTACACCTTTAGTCCCAGAACCCCAGAGGTGGAGGCAGAGGCACACACGCGTGTGCGCGCGCACACACACACACACACACACACACACACACACACACACACACACACACACACACTGTGTAGGTATGTATGTTTGTGGGCGTGTATACTGAAGTGCAAGTTCCAGCAGAGACAAGAAGACGACTTCAGATCTCCTGGAGCTGGAGTTACAGGTACCTGATATGGGTGCTATGAGCTGAACTTGGGTCCTGTGCAAGAGAGTCCAATGTTCTTAACCCCTAAGCCATCTCTCCAAAGTCCTGCTTTCCTTTATGTAGTCCAAGTCAGCCTAGAACTCACTATGTAGCTGAGAGCGACCCAGAACTTCTGTTCTTCCTATGTCCATCCCTAGGCACTAGGATTTAGGAACTATCACACCAGAAGAACCCAGGGCTCTAGCCCCTTGGGCAGTGTTTCCCTAACTTCCCTGGACTCATCTGCTGCAGGCGGAGTCTCACCAGGTGGAAGCGGTAGCTCTTCTCATACTTCATGTACTTGAGGCAGTACTCGCAGA